TTTATTGGAAAAGTTCGCGATATAAAATAGGAAATGACGCATATCGTTGCTCATCTAGAACGTATTAATAAACTTCTAATGAGTGAGAATGCTACAACTACTATAACAATTACTACAACTATAAATAAATCATCGATAATAAAATAGATTCTTTACACGCCTCGTTACCCTATAATCAGAATTAATTGAAAAATTTCTCGACTTGAAAACGCACTTTGATTATCCAATAATTTTTTAATTTCAAAACCGTGTGTAAAATACCGCAGAAAATAACAGTATACGATTATTCTACGTTTCTCAGCCAAAACTCGAAGTCGTAATATTTCTCAAAGTTTTCATTCGATCGAAAAAAAAGAAAAAACTCACGCAATTACGTCAAAGTACTATATATATATATATATATCTCGCCATCCGATTAGGTCGTCTGAATAAGTAACCAACTACTTATTTCGAGCAGAGATAAAAGTTTCCCGAGGGAGATTCCATCGAGCAGTTTCGTCCAACAAAGGAAAACGAAGGTACAAACCTCGAGACCTTGCCAACCCGATTATTCGCCTCCTCCTCGTCGTGCTCCACTCGGTTTTGCATAAATTAACGCGCAACTCTAATTACCTACTCCCGTGACCGGCCACGTGAAGTACAAAGTCGTGTAAAGATGTTGTTTTTCCAACCGTGGGTTGCGCGTTTCCAGCGCGAAACGGCACGCAACATCGACTTTCCAAAGTGGTATCCGACGAGGATACCACTCCACCATGAACGGGGAGGGAGGGAAGAATGAATTGTTGAAAGAGGAGTCACGCGAGTCGCATGGGACGATTGTGTTACGCGGAGTGAAATATGTGCCGGTCGGTTGGAAGTGGATGGTGGTGGTGGTCGTGCTGTGGTCGAATCGAAATTTGTACGTGCCATAAATTTTGGAGAAGTGGTTTGGTTAGGCGAGGAAATTTTGTAAGAAGGAAGAATAAGGAGATATGTCGTGAATTGCGGAGGGATGTTTTGAATTTTAATTCTTTAACTCTTTGGTTTTGGAAAGAAATAGAAAAATTTAAAGGTTTTTTTTTAAATTTAATGATAGTTGGATTTGGATGAAAAATTTGATTCACTGAATTCTTATTTATTAATTAATTTCGAAGTGTGGAATGAATAAGATTGAAATGAATGAAATATAATTGATAACGCATATGGGAACGATGAAAATAGCAAGGAGATGAAACTGTTTAGGAAAAATCCAAGTGTATTATTTACGTTGAAAGATTAATGTTTAACACTATTCATCGATATCTTATCGATATCTTATCCAAGATCGTTTTTCGTAATATCTTTAATCGAATCTTGTAAGTATTGAATAAGTGATTTAATTAAATCAATCAAACAAAAGAATTGAGCAAAAGAAAAGATTAACTGGAAAAAAAGAATAGAAAGGGAGAGGAACATCAAATATTCAAAATTCTATATTTTTAAAATTTCTGAAATCTAAAAGAATTTCCAAATATGAGAAAAAAGAAGAGAAGAAAATTTTATATATTTCCAATATATTTCAAAAAATTAATCAATAGAAAGAATTTCAAAGGGAAGAAAATTTCAGGTTTCAGAAACAAGAATTCCTTTGAACGTTTGTATTTTAGAACGTTCGAGAGTACTCATCAAATTGATATGTTTCGATATCGATCCACCCGCTCGCGAGGAAACAGTTTCGAGAAGGAGAGTAAAGGAAAAGAAAGACGGAGTATACACGAGAAAGTTTCACAAGGGTTGCAGTTTTAGCCTGGGCGGTTACTTTAAAATTTAGATCACTCTCGTAAAATAACGCGCCTCCCCAACTTTTCAAATAAGCCGAAGAAATTAATTTCCACCCTGTCGTTATTTATTATTTCTATTATACGATCGTGGTATAATAAACGATATGATGAATGTTATCGAGAAGCTTGAGAAATTAAATAAATAAATCTTTTCAATTAAAGAGAGTAGATATTTCTTCTTTCAATTTTGTGCGTGTCGTTTCTCTCAGATTATGGAGAAAACTTATGCACGAAGAAATATGGAAACGAGAAGTCGTGCGTATCAAAGAAAAATTTCAAGCTGCTCGATTTATTTCAGATATTTACAGAAGCATTTTATGACAACTACTTTTTATCGAGATTTTTATTCAACGGTTAGATTCTATTTTCGACGTCTCGAAATTAGGATAGTTTCGACTTTTCTTTTCCGGAATTTAATAATTAAAATTTTTCATTTAATCTATTTTAGCGGATACGATTATCGAGCCGGATGTATGACCATATAATTCGAAATGAAAGAATATCACGCGAAATTCTAATCGGAAAACACGACATTGTAGTTTACAAGTTAAGTTCGAAATTTTTTCATCGAAAGATCTAAAAAAAATCTAGATGGAAATATTTTTTTAAGTTTTAGATATATAATTTCAATTAAATTCAGTTAATTTTGAATTTGTCAAAAATTTGTCAATAGTGAAAATAAGAAAATTATAAAGAAACGAATATATCAAGTTCTCCAAAATTTCTTAAATTTTGAAATTTCAACGAAAAAAGCTTCTGAATGGAACGAAATCACGGACTTTCTGCCAGTGACGGCGCTTCAAAATACGACGTTATTTCGAGCTTTGATAATTTGCATACGAGCCAAGCGTTCGATTAACTTCGACATATCTATAAATCGATGCTGTCGGTGTCGATAATACGAAATCAAAATTAGTCTATCGCTTAATTCGAGCAATGATAAATCTTAACATTGGAATAATCGAATTCATCAAAGTGAATTTTATGTATTTTGTTTCATTGATCATCGAAAATACGAAAATATTTTTAATAAAATTGATGTTATATTTTATTAAGATAATGATGTAATTATATATGTTAAATTTTTTCATGATATCAGTTTAATTACGACCATTTGTATATAAAATAGATACTTAAGTGTTACAGGTTGATAATTCTAGCGTTTAAAAAATTGTACTTCTACGTGTATTTTTCCTCTTGCAGTATTATTACTCGATAAACTCGTGTGATACGATTTAAAAGGAAATACAAATGTTTCGCAAAACTACTCGTTATTATACACGTAGATATGAAGACATAAAAAAGACATAAATGTTAACTTGTCCAATCTTTTAAAATTCTATTTTTTCTTGTTAATAACTTATGATATTATTTTTCTTCTTCTTCTTCTTCTTCTTTTAACTCTCATTAAACTCTGGAAAGTTTCCTCAAAATTGTGACAAGTTTATCTATAATTTTTGTATGTCAATCGAAGAATTGATATCTGCGAATGTTTTTATTCGTCTTTTTATTTTTTATGATCTCAAAGATAAAAATTGAAACATATAAGTTTTCTTTATCGCTCAAACTGAGTATATTTATCGATTTTTTATAAAAAATGCAAAATGATTTCTAGTTTATTTAATCACTTAGGAAGTGAATGTGATTCGTAAACATTCATATAATTTTTTTTTCAAAATAAATATTTGAATAGTAAAAAATTGACGAGGTAAAATTCAGAATAATTTATAATCGATTTAATTATTGCAATAAACTTTATGTAATTTTTTTAACTTTGAGTTTATAAAAAAACATGAATTTTATTTGAAAACAAATATCATGGAAAATTTAGCGAGATCAAATTTCTTATATAAACAGAATTGTAATAGAATATAAATTAGCCAGATATAGATTTTCCAAATATGTATTCATTATTATGAATATCGATAATATGGAAATTGATTCTCTGATTATTAATGATACTATTATGGAAATTGATGGAAAAGATGATGAATTGGAAATTGTTTTATTAATCGTATTAAAAAATTTATAAGTACGTTATAAAAATTTTAGTTAGTTACTTTTTTAATCGAGGAATTTATTACAGTTGAAAGCTTACTTATAAAAGTATGTAGGTATACTTTCAACTAGCATTTGAATTCCAAAACGTTTCCGGTTCTACTACTTACTTATATGATTATCATATTAATTTCATCCGTTATTATATAGTTCTCATGATAAAACTAACGATTAATAAATTATATTACTTTTAATAATTATTTTATACCAAATAATATATACATTTTGATCAATATGAATATTTTATATTTAAAAAATAAGTTTCAAAATTTGAAACTTTAAAAAATTATATTTTATATTTAGAATATTATATATAAAATTTTTCTATATCCTAAAATTATCAATTCTCAATCGAATCTCGATTTAAAAAATTTTCCTCGATACATATTTCGAACTGCGTATATACACTTGTTTTGACCTGTCAATAAAAATTTCCTGGAAAATCACTATCGACCGTGTGATGTTTCCAAATCAACAGGTTCCAAGAATGAGTCAGAGTCTCGCTTCGTCACAACAAACCACTTATTCGTATAAACAAAACATACGAAACGGTTCGATGATCGCTTAAAATTACGCATATTACGCATTAGATATAATAGCTCATAATTTACTCTATAAAGAATTATTTTATGTTTTTCAATTATAGCTAAATACTCGGCATTACACTTTTATATCTGCAATATTATACGCTTTCTAAATCTGTATTTTTATCAAATGAGTATATTGTAAATTTTCAACATCTTAAATTTGTAAATTATTATCCGATAAAATAAATAACTGAGCGTTTAAGCGTTAATAATATTGAAAACTATTAAAGAATCTACCTCTAAAAAAAACTTATATTATAATCGAAACGAAGTATATTAATATTTCATTTCACAAATCAACAGAACAGATCTCAAACGTACGAACATTGTTCTAAATTTTTTACGCTGCTATCAAAACATTCCATCGAAAATTCCTTCTAAAAAAAATCTACAAAAAAAAAAAAATATCTCGTATACCAATCTCAATCACTCGATCAAAAAAAGTAAAAAACTTGCACACCGAAAGCTTACGAATCGAACCTAACCTAACTTAACGTAACCCACGCCATTGAAAACTCCTCCACAAAACGCGTTTAATAATCATTCAATCACCAACCTTGAAACAGATGCGACAGGATGGCAGCTTTGAAGCACGCGCAGCCCATAATAAATCCCATCATCGGCCGTACAGTGGACAATCACGAGATGGAGAGAGCACAAGAGGCACACACGTAGAGGCGTCACGACGATTTCCGCGACGCGGCCGTGCAGGTTGGACGGGAACGGAAGTGGCGTAGCTGCATCGCGCGACAACCGCGACACCGTACGTCGACACCGGTGCGTGTCACGCGCGAAACTGGCCGCCTATTTGGCGAACGGTGGTCCTAATGGGGGGGAAGGGGGGAAGATCCGCGGCGATCGGCAACGTTCGTCGAAACTCGTCACCGATCGAGCCGACACGATGAATCGGACGACTCGTTTCCGTGCCTCGTGCTCGCTCGTAATATTTCGGCCGAGGAGAGGGGGCAAGCGTTTATCGCGGCGTGTCAAGGTTCCCCGCGGCGAGAATATGCCCTGTGTGTCGTCGTACGGTGAACGTTAACTGGCTCGGTGTTGAAAGCACCTGGATAGAGATTTTTTTTTTTTTCAATTGTTTAAAGAATAGGCGAATGATAAATGGTTGATCGGTGAAAGGAATAAGGATGGTTGATACTTGAACGTATTTTTTTTTTTGGATAATTTTTATAGACTATGATTGGATAATTTATTATATGTAGTTGAATTGTTGGATTATATAGAGAATAGAATTGGAGTTTTTAATGGTAAAAAGATGTTTTGAACGTACATTTTTATTTTTTGGAAATTCGTTTAGATATTTTGATTGAATTTTTTTTATCATTTAGATGGAGTAAAAATTTGATAATGGAAATATACGAATGATTTTTGATAAATTTGATTCATGGAGTAATGGCTAAGAAGTTGGAATTTTTTAAAAATAGATAATTTGGAGAGATATTCAATGATTGGAAAGATTGATATTGAAAAGAATATGGGAAATAAGATTGAAATATGATTGTGTTTGTTAAATAATTATTCTTGGAAAAAAAGTTAAAAAAAGAAGTAGAAAGAAGAAGAATAAGAAGAATTGTATTCATTCGATTTTCACGGGAAAAATATTTTCACTGTGTTTTCAAGAAAAAACAATTTCCTTGTAATTCGAAACAGTAGGAGAAATATTTCACGTGTAAAATTAATGAATGAAAAATCTCACATATATAAAAATTAAGAGATTTCAAAGAAGTTTTAATTAAATTCTAACAAAAGATAAGAATCACAAAAAGATCTACAATTCCAACACGTACTATTCAAATTTATCGTAACGTAAATTAAATATAAAAATAGTCGTCTTTTTATACGAGACGAAATATTCCTTTAAAGTTTCGTAAACTCCGATTAAATGTTAACAAACTGAAACATAAGTTGGATTAAATGGCTCATTAATCGTGATTCCGAACCATAAAAACTTCTCGAAAGCTTGATTTAATACGTTTAGCATAATGATGCATAAAATAAAAATCGAGTAGAGAATTTCTGATGCTATCATATTATATTATTCATAAAAATAAGCTTTAATAAGCGCTGTTATATACCTTAATGAATCCACCCTTATTTTCGTTCTGTATTTAATTCGTTCAATCTCTGTTTCACATTTTCTTTTCACCAGAAATTTCGAATTAATTAAACTAATTAATAGAAATACTTTATAAGAAGAAGAAAAAAAATTGATGTAAAAATCTTATTTCTCTTAATCTCAACATCTACATAAGTAGATCGACGCAATTTAATTAAATTTCGTTCGAGATGAATCGTGAAAAATCGATTTATGCTAAAATTTCAATTCAGTTCGAAGTTGAGAAGGAAAAGATTTTCCTTTAGAATATGATAGAATTAAACTTCCAATACATTTCCTTATTATTAATTCGAGATCTTAATCCTATCTAAAATCCTCGAAATTTCTTCAAAATATCATACATATTATTACAAAACAAAAATTTGAAAAATTTTCGAAACTTTCAAAGTATCGAGATATTTAATTTTAATCGAAACCTCCTTTCTAAAACGAAAGAAATTAGAGAATTTTCATTCACATCAAAAATTCCAACGATTCCAACGAATTTCAAATTCCGTTGAATTTTATTTCCAATCCGAGCAAATTAAAGCGAGCGAATCACAGTGCATGTTGAAAGCATTACGAGTCCAATCCAATTAAAGAGAAGGAGGTCGAAAAATGCAGGCAGATATTTATCATCGGTAAACAGAACAGGAAGCAATCAGAAGGAATTTGACGTGATGCAAGCAGGTCGTGGACGTGTTATTGGATTAGCACGTGAAAGTGCAACACACACGATCAATTATTTCGCAGGCGTGGATCGATCGCGATGAAACTGTTACAATATTTAATAGTCGGCTCGCGTTCACCAGAGAACGATCCACAGTTGCACCGTTAAGTTAGTATGGAAATCAAGTTGCAAAATAGTAAATGAACCTGTCGAATCAGAATGGATTGACACGTTGATTCCATTCACATTCATTCTCGTATATTTATATAGGTCTTTAACGCTTGCTGATGCTTTTTGACGTAATGAGATTAATTCATAACGTGAAAAATGATTGAAATATGATGTATATGAAGTACAAGGACATATCAATTCTACAAGTTTTATATAAGTTTGATTTTATAAGGTAAGTAAAGACTGTTTCTGATAATTAATATAATAATTATATGTTATAATTTTATTATTTTAAGCCAAAATGAAAATATAAAAAATATAATGAATTATAATGAAATTCATGTACTGTTATCAACACAAATTCATCGAGATAAAGTTGTTCTAAATTTATAGTACAAACATCTATCAATTTAGTTGGTAATTTCATATAAAATCGAATCCATCGAATACATTTACTATTATATTATCGAGAACATTAATTACGATATCAAATTAATCACGATAATAAAAATGAATTTTCAAACGAAACGAATATAAATTCTAATATTATGCAGTTTATATTATTGTATTTTACAAATAATATAATATCACTATTAAAATATTCTCGATAAGACAAGATTAAAATAGAAGAAAAAAAAAGGAAAAAGTTTGAATTTTTGTTCGACAGATTTGATTAATCGCGAAACGAACGTAATCAATATTCGAGCCGTGTCGATAACGAGCGTGGATACAAAAATTTCATTATGAAAGATTACAAGTAAAAGTCGATGGATATTTTCGCGTTTAACGCTCTAATTAATTTCACCGTCTCCTAAAAAATATCGACTATATTTTAACCCAAATCGACCGCACCGTTTGAAGAGTATCGCCTTGTGAATTTTCGTTTCGACAAGTTTCGCATGCTCGATATTTTCGCAAGAAGCGCGATTCGCCAATGCGGAAAATTTCCCCCTGGTGTTTTATTGAAACGTGATTACGTAATTGAAAAGCGTACCGCTTAATTAATCAGTTAATTAATCTTTTTTGGCGGGCGCGAAGCAATGTAAAACTCGAAATTTAATTAAAAACCATTGAATCGGATCGGGTCGTATCGTATTGTAGATTTTGTTCCTACGACACAATACGAAATCATCGATTGTAAACACATATACGATAAATACGTATTTACAATAGCAAGAGAAATATATATTTTTAATTGTTTTTCGATTCTTTGAACACTCGCGATAAACGAAACCAAAAATTGCAATTTCAATAAAATTTAATATTGACACAAGACACGATGCAAGTTTAACATTTATATCAAACTAAGTATCATTTCACTTGGCATGCAATTTTCACTCTCATCGAGTGAAAATATCTTCAAATCCAACTATCGTTTTCTACACGCTATATCACGATTACGATCGATTACGCAATCAATTTTATTATCGATCCAAAACTACTTACAAAAAGCTTAACATCGAAGTTTCGCAAAATCGAGACCATAAATTATCGCTTCGCATTTCCAGAACAACACATGAACAACAACAACAACAACAAACAACAATCATAATGATCGTTTAATCCATAACGAGAAGGAGAATAAACAGGAGAAAACGAAACATCGAACCGTAAAACAACCGTGACGAGTGTGTGTACGTGCCAATTCTCTCGGCAAGCCGTGTATGGAAAAGCAAGGAGCAAATATATATTCGACCGGTTACGCGTGTCACGATCGAGCAAGATATTCGAGCGGGCGAACACGGACAGAGGATTAAGCGAGCTCTTTCCCACGATCCATGCAACGATCGAACAACGCTAATTATCTCGATTACGGCCAACCGTTTCCGCTTTGGATTATTAGTCCTGGTGTATTAATGACGATGGTGGATGGATCAATGGAGGATAACGCGATGGCCAGGATTTCAACGAGAGTTCTATAAATACGTGACGGAACTCGAACTCGTGTTTCCTCTTCTCTTAATTAATTAACGATAATAAACGATTTGTGCCTATTTTTGTTAGAATTTTTGAATTTATGGAAAATCGAGAAATATTGAAATCTAATTTTAAATAATGGCTTTTTGAATTTATGGAAAATCGAGAAATATTGAAATCTAGTTTTAAATAATGGCTTTTTGGATTTATGGAAAATCGAGAAATATTGAGATCTAGTTTTAAATAATAGCTTAGTGGATTTCGAATGATTTGTATATTTATATTTCACTGTATGTTTATATTTTGTTTAGATCATGCTTTACACATAACGTTTGGATAAAGGGATGAAAAGTGACGATATCGGAGCAGAGAGAGGATTAAAAAGTTTTCGCAAAACTTTTAGTCTAGTTTGATCCTGGCGTTAATCTTGATGTGAATAAAATATTATTCCAAAGTCAGTTATATATTATCTTTAAAGGGAACATCACGATTAATCCGGATAACGGAATTTTATTAATCATACACGGATTAAAGCCGACGAAACGATGGCAAAACACGGTGGAACGAAACACGATAAAGGCAATACCTCGAAATTTCCGCATATCGTATCAATTCAATGGATCTGTTCAATCAACGGACTGGAAGGATCCTCTTTGTTTTATAGAGTTCAAAAAAACTCGTACCCTGCACTCGACAATCAATTCGAATACGATTAAAATGTGGGATAAAAAAATATAAAGAAAGGAGGAAAATAAACAATAGAAGAATCTAATTGACCGAATTTTTATATCAATCGTGCAATGATACAATTCTTTGTTCTTCTTCAATAGTTCATTTGCAAATATGAATATCGTACAAATTTCTTCTCGACAACAATTTAATTATGCAGTCCAAAAATAAATATTTGAAATGTATGGACGAATCTTATTTTATTAAGAAAAAATTTTCATTATTAAGAAAAAAATATATCATTCTAATTGCGCATAATTCCATTCTCCTATTTTATAAATCGACATCATAATTTACGTCAAAATCACACGGCAAACTACATCCCATCGTTCAATCGCCGAAAAAACACTTCCAAAGCGTGTCCCATTGTACGACAGACATGTCAGAAATCGAGTGTCATCAAACTGTCCACGGTGTTTTCGTCGAAAATGCATTGAAAACGCGTTCGAATCGTCTCTGTCCGATA